CCAGAGGGTTTTTGTCGAGCTAGCTGTGCCAAAGCTAACAAGTCAAGGGGTGAGCAGAGTCCACCACATAGGCCAGGTGCGAAGAACGGGGCTTGTATTTGCTCTTCAGCTGTAAGCTAGCTCTCTTCAGTCCTTTGGTTGACACAACACGCAGTTCATGCAATATCACAACTTTACCCTCAATCCAGCCCCAGCGAGTGAGCCAGCGATTGACAAGGCTCAACGGTTTAATCAGGCCGGCCAGCTGGAAACTAAATGATGTTACCTCAAGCGTGAATCTGTGGGAGTTTCTCAAGATTTGATTTGGGCAATGTGGGCAAGCAAGACTCACAAACAAGACTATCTTTTCAAAAATTGTGCTCTAGTTTTTTTGTTGGAGAGGATGGGTGTTGACATGTCTGATTTTTTCAATTGTGATACAGAATATATTCTTGAGGATAGAATACATTTATTCAATTTTAATCAAGCTTCAGCCTGATGTGTGAAGGCGCAGCTGGTGGGCAATGGTTGTGTACCGCCTGGATAGGCATGGGTTAACCTTTTGTACTTTTATCGCTACTAAATTAAAATCACAAAGAATCACAGTCTGAGATACTTGCAACACAAAAGTTCCGTTCGTGTGAACTAAGCCTAATTTATTTTGTATTGCAGTGGAAATCTTTCACATTTTAAATTCACCTTATCTGATTTATTTTTTGGAAAAGAGATAACATATACTTACAAATCTTGCATTTCTGCTATTTGATTTGCGAATCTGATCTTTAAATTTATAAAATCATGATAATTGTTCGTCTGTAGTGGCATATTTACCCGCAAACCTGACAGCTTGAATAGCAAAAAAAAATCAAAATATTTCATTGATTTTAATGAAATATTACACATTCATACATGCCCCAACAAGGATAAAAACAAGAATTAATGTATAAACTTTCAACATTTTCCTCAAATAAAAAAGCAAGGTTATGTACATCAAACACAATTTCAAAATCTCCAAGAAATGCATAATGATTTAGGCAGAAGAAGTCACCTGAAGCACTGGCCCTGAATTTAATTAACAAAAAGGAGGTCAATGATAATTGCCCAGGCCGAGAGTCAGTTGTGTAATAATAAGGAGGTAATCACCCTGCTGTCTGGCTGACACAGCGACTGTCAAGTGTGAAAAAAAAATTGCCCAATTGGCTATGCAGTAATTTCGACCACTCTCGACCCAAGCTGGATTTATCCAGCTTCTTTATCAATTATTCAAATCAAATTTTGGCGGGAAATGGGGCGTGAAACCCCACAGGGACAGAGGGGGAGCTAAGGACCATGGAATGAATAGAGGGAGAATGTGGGATGGTTTGTTTATCTACTGGTGTTATTTTTGTAGATAGCCCCTTCCAGGAACTAATCTCTAGGGAGGGGGAAGGGGTGTCCCTGTGAGTCACTTGTGATGCAACATCCAACATGAAATCACTAGGAACATAACACAAATGTCCTTCAGGTTCTGTTTTGTTTTCTCCTGAAAGTGAAACTCAATTTTCTTTTTAGAAATATTTAAGATCTGATTGTATTCAATCAAAATGACCTACATGTACATATATACCAAAAAGTTGTTCATAGCACAAAATTATGTTTCAATTTATCCCACGAAAATTTTTTTTTTTAAGGGATCCTGCCTTTACTTCTTCTAGCATTATATTTTAATAACATTCAATGATTTACATGTAAATGTGAAAACAGATAAAAGTGTGTGCAAAGCTCTATTCAAATAAGCTGAACTTAGATACCATTTATTTCTATGGATTTAAACAAATTGCAAAGAAATGGTCTGACAGCATTTTAATAATGCTAAAGGAGGTTTATAGATCTTTTGCACTGGAGCCATTTCAGAAGTGTGTGCAATCATTCAACAGGGAAATGCGTGAGTAGACAGGCTCTAGACCTCTTGTGCATTCATTGTAACTGAATTACAAACTACCTCAACAATGGCTGCTGAATGCAAGCTGTATATGTGTCATGGTATAACGTTAGTGTCCAACGTGTGACATTTTTCCTTACCCTGTCACCTTGGTACTTTGTAGTCTGCCACTCAAAAATCATTTATAAAGACTTCAAACATTTTTGTTTGGTTAGTAGTCTGCTATTTGTAATCACTCTGGAGGATGACTACATTAAAGAATGCATCCAAAATTATTCAATCTTATTTGATGTCAGATGTAACAGGGACAGAAAAAAAGTAGATGCCATTTTTTTTGGAATGACCCATATATATATATAAAGCACTTGTTTAGAACATGTAGAATAAAACGAAGCCCCTTTAATGTGAACAGACATGATCTTTTGCCCAGCTGTTGAAGAATTCAATAACACATTCTATTTAATAAAATGTAACATTGCATGCATGACCTGCAGAGAATGGAATTCAATTCACAGATCTGGGTTTCCGAAGATGGACTTTTCAAAACACAGCATATTTTGGAGGTTTGTGAATTTATTTATGCAGTTGTTCCAAAGCTGATGATTTTGCCGCATGAGAAAAAAGTGTTGGAATTTTAAAGTATATTTATCTAATTTCAATTTAAAAAGTGCTAAACTACATGTAAGATATTTCAAATTAAAAAGAGATTTTAAAGAGATTTTTTTTTTTCTGCCTTATGAACAATTAATATTGTTATATCGTGTTCTTGGATACTGTAATTTCATTGGTCTAGGATGGCCACGTGTCTGGACAATAAAAACGCATGCCACACACTGAGGGTGATGTCCCAATGCGTTCATTGCACACGTTGCGCGCGCGTGTGGAACCTGCCAGGGCGCTAGCTTCGCACAATGAGAACTGCAACGTCAAACGCTCAGTCTCATGTCCGGCAGGACACCAAAGCCTTCGGTTATTAAAGGTAACGTCACACAGATTTAATTTATTTCTCACACTGTAAGTTACAACCATGTATCTTTTTGAGTTATTGGCACGATATAACAAAACAATTGTTGACTGCTGTGATGTGGGATACGCCGTTTTTAACGTGCTATGCCCCCCTCGGGTGTTACAAACGTCATATCCCACATCTCAGCAGTCAACAAGTAATTATTATTTGCCCTAGTATCTGTCATATTCATCCTTTCAAACTTGTTCATGCATTCAATGTATAAGTTTGCTCCTCCATTCCTTGTTTTTTTAATAGTATATTATGGCCATGATATATTTTTCGATGGAGGGGGGGGGGGGCGGGAGGGTGTGGGGGTAAATAGTTAAAAACTGCAAATACAGCGCGGCATCCTCTGAGAAAATAAAGAGACAGCGTCTTCACATGAGGTGTTATAATGTCAGATATTCAGCTCGTCACTTAATATTTGTAGTTTTACACGGCTGGTTTGTTTTGAAGTGTATACATGTACATCTAATTGTTTATTATGGGTAGTACAGGAACCGGGCACCCTATAGAAATTACACACGGATACCCGGGTACCCGTAAAAGAAACCCAACCCCAAAATTCAAATCCTAGAAGTCGTCTAACGGTGTAAAACTACAATTTCAAAATCTGTTTTGGTTGTCCGTGTAGCCTGGTTTTCATTCTTAAATTCCCCACAAATGGCATTCAAAACCTTTCTTTTTCATTGTCTGAGAAGTAACTAAGTAATTTGTTAAGTTGGTTACCGATACCTGATCCCATAATCTGGAACCGGTTCCTAACATCAACGGTCGGGTACCCGGTTCCTATGCACACCCGTACATCTAAGATCAGAAGAACATGGGTAAGCATACACGTGTGTGTTTTCAAAGTTTACATGCATATACAGCCTGTCTCCAAAAAAATGGTACAATCGAAAATGATTTTTTTTTCAATATTAAATCTCAACATAAGTAAGTCGTTTTGAGCATCACATTAAAGAAAAAAGACCAGGCTTTCCAATACTTTTTGTTTCATCTCATTTGCTTTTGTCAATCCAGAGATAACTCCAGTTTACTGCGGAACACAAAAATCGAGTTTGTTTCTTTTGCCAAGTTGCAATCTTTTGTGAGCTTCAAGACAGCATGGCACAGTACTCGAAACAACTCTGCCCATGCATAAAAGTGGCACAAAATTGATTTTGGTGTATCGCACTAAATTGATTATATCTCTGAATTGACAAAAGCAAATAAGATCAAACAAACACTATTGGAAAGCCCAGTCTTTGTTCTTTAATATTAGAAATTAGTTCTTTATTATTTTGAAATTTCATATTTAACCAACTGTTTTTCTGATTGTACCATTTTTTTTGAGACAGGCTGTACAGTGTGGAAAGCCCTCTGAAAGCATATGTGTCTCTTTGCAAGTACAGTAGAACTTTGCTATAATAAACGCAATGGGTCCATGAAAGACTGTTTGGTATACTGGAAGTTCACTATCGTGAATTTGTTGGTATAGTTGTTCTAATAGCAATGTCCTACAGTCGACTCTCGTTAATACAAACTCAGCCGGACTTAGCCAAAATGTTTGTATATCAGAATTTTGTATTTTGTAAGTGGAGTGCTGGTCCCATTCATTGTGCACATAATATGCACAGTCAGAATTAAGGCTTTATGTTTGCTATAAGCAGAATTTGTATTAACAGAATTTGTATTAACGAGAGTCCACTGTACTGTGCCAGCAAACCTTTTGGGGACGAAAGGTGAGTGATGGCCACATGCATTTGGTTGCAATGACATGAAATACACTGTGGACATTTTAATATAAATACCAATCATCCACATTTTCAGGATGTTTAAAATGAACCTGTTTAATTTCCAGCAGTGTGGATGTTAAACCTCACAAACAAAAATATAGCATTAGATTTTGTCAACATGGTACAAACATAATGCCTTCATTTTATAGTTGCATTATCATCTTTCAGTGATGGTCTTTCAACATACAATTGAGGCTTCTTCAAATAAAGAATGCCAGACAAAATTATTTCCGAATATACAACTTTTCTCAGGTATCCAAGGTGTAATTCTTCCCTCTTTCTTTTTAGAGAAAGTCAGAAAATTTGGTCTTACCTTTATCTCTAGCACACCCTCATCTGGGTCGTCCTGGCTCTCGATGCTTTCATCCAATCTTGGGGAGTTGCCAAGTGAGGATGGAGGTGGTAATGATGGAAGAGCCGGGGGAGACTCATCCCCATCCTCATCCAACTTCAGTGGGCTAGAGCTTGGAGTGGAGGTCCGTGGCGGAGAGGATTCTGGTAGGGGAGGCGGTCCACTTGATGGAAGGGGAGCAACATCCTTCTGGCATTCACATATTGGCGACTTTGCATTTTGGGCATTGCTTGGTGCTTGTGCAGTTCTCCTTACATTCAGTTCCGAGTTTAGGGATTTTGACTGGTCGTTCCCTAGCACTGGACTTGTTAAAGCTGACGAAACATTCAGCATCCCTTGCCTTAATGTTGACTTGCCTGCAGGAGCAAGTGCAGACATCCTGGGCTCTGGCTGGGGTTTAGGACCAATGTGTGGTGGGTTCAGCCTCGCAACTGGTTTTGGCGCCGGCTTTGAATCAACTCTAATGCCTGGTTGGAGGAGTTGACTCGGTTTTGCACCTGTATCATCAGCTTTTTGTTCTGAACCAGACACTTCTTTGTCCCACGGGAACGTTTTCATCGTCAACTTTGTGCGTGAAGGCCCTGCTGTCCCTTGACTGTTAGCTTTGGTTGACAGGAGGACAGGCATTGACTTGGGGCTGATGGCTGACGTACCAATTTTTGGCAGGCTTCCCTGAGTTGGACTGGTCATTGTTGCAGACCCTGAGAGCTTCTTAGGGACAGACAGACCCTTCAGCTTGGAAGCTCCGACCGGTTTTGGGCCGACGCTATCCAATATAGATGGCTTCTTTGGAAACTGGCTTGCTCTCAAGGGGGGAACCACCAGGTTTTTACTCTTTTCGGGAGATTGGAGAGACAATGGCTTGGAGAGGTAGGAGGTAGGCATGGATTTTTCAGTGTTTGCGAGACTGTCTTCCTTGTTAGTAGTGTCTTCAACAGGCAGTGGATCTTGTACAGGAGATGTGGCATCATCTCTTTCAGAGTTGAAATCAAGACTGGCAGCTGAGAGTTGAATCTTTGTTGTTTTTGTGGATGATTCATCAGTCGTAACAGGAAGCTCATCCAGACTATTCTTTTCTAGTTCAAAATCTCCGGGTGAAAGCTTTACCTTTGAAGACCTTGCCTTTGGAACAGGGCGATTTTCTTTTAGTTTGGAAGTCTTAATGTCTGCAGTAGGTTCCGAGTTGGATGGCAATCGATTTAATGACGGTATAGCTGCCACTTCCTGAAGATGTTTTGGTGCAATCAACTCCTCAACAGGGTCAATAGAGGCACTTGGAGGACTCTCTGATCTTTTTGGTGTAGAGCTCCTAGGATTGGATGCACCTCCTGGTGATTGATGAGATGTCTTTTCCAGAGGGCTGCTCATCAGGACAGGTGAGGGTGGGTTTGCAAGGCCTTCATCATGACCTGTACTTTCTGGAACAAATTCCTCTGGATGAAGATCACTGTACAGCTCATCAGACTGCTGACCAGTTGGAGGTGGGCTATTTGGGAGAGGAGGAGGGCTTCCTGGAAGAGGAGGTGGAACTTCATTGTCATCAGTAGCATCTCCACTATCATCACGTACCCTGTCTTCATGTTTGGCAAATTTATCATCATTGCCAGAACTACTGTCCTGTGATGATTTCAGATTCCGACCAACTGGTGTAAAAGAAGGGCTCTTTCTTTGCTCTGCCACCTGTGGGTCTTTTGAAGCTTCGCCATCCGTCTCAAATAGAGCAACAGGGGACTTGGGGGATCCTGATGGGGCACGACGTTTGAGCACAGAGCCAAACATGGAGGCTCTCTCCTTAACACTAGTCGGTGTTGTTGGCTCCTTGTCTTCATCCAGTGTACTGAGAAGATTCGGAGAAATGGAAGCCTTTGAAGTTGGTGAAACTGAAGTGTCAGGAGAACCCAGCTTAATTTCACTGGGTCGCTTGACAGGCTCTTTTACCACGTCAACTGGTTTGGAAGGTTCAACTGGTGAGGCACTCTGAACAACTTCAGTTATGATTGGGTTAGGCACTTTTTCAAACAGTAGGTCTCTGCTGGTTTTAATAGTCCCAGTTGGAGAAGGGGAAGGAGAGTTTCCGGCACTGGGACACTTTGAGATCTGTTCAGGGGATTCGTGACCATCTGGTGGCAACCTTGGTGATGTAGGAGTCACTGTGTCACTACCAGAAGAGTCTGACTTGTCCAACTTGTGAAGGCGGTGGGATGTAAGGTTTTCTGGTTTCACTTCCGGTTCAGCATCTTGGGCAAAAGAATGTGGCTTCTTGTTTTCCACACCAGTGGCAACTTTGGGCTGTAGAGAGGTTTTAGGTTTGGCACTTGCTATGTCTGATTTTTCTGAGGCTTTAGTGTCTGAGTTGTCTCTTCTGAGTCCATTCATGCGAACATGACTGGGAATGATTTCGTCATCACTGGAATCTTGATCAAAATTGAATGATGCTGGGTTGGCCTTGATGACTTTCCTGCCCTTGATGGCACTGTCATCCAGAGACTGTGCCCTCTGGAACAATCGCAACTGCGTAGTGTTGTTTGAATTGCTGTTGGTGGTGTTTAGGTTCGAGAAGGTCTCCGGGAAAGGTGTCATAGGTGTGTCAGAAGGTAGAGGTGAAACAGCTTGGAAGTCGTCCTCTGACAATTGGTCAGAGGCATCGCTTAGATTCAGAGATGATGAGGATTCACTGACTGTTCTCTCAATCTGACCGTTCTCTGAAATGATGGGTTGGTACTCCTTGTCAGGGGAAGAGCAGGAGCTCAGCGAATCATCTCCAAATCCTGTTGGTGGTCTCATAAAAAAAGAGGATGCCTTCTCCGGGGATCCAGGACTTGGAACTTGAAGGACGCTCTCGGCAGACATTTCCTCTGTGTGTTCCACAATCAATTCCATGCTGTTGTCTGACAAGTCTTCAGAATTGTCCATGACAGATGCAAAAATGTCTTCGACGGCAGAACTCAATTCCCGGGAGCTATCCTGAGAGTTATCTACTGGTTTTGATTCCCAATCAGCAGATTCAGATTGATTCATTTTGAGTTGGTCATCTTGCCGACTGGACAAGGCAGGAGTAGCAGACTTCTCAGACTTGACTGGAGTTGTCAGAGGGCTTGGTAATTTCAAGGGTAGAGAGAGTGGGCGGAGTTGGGATGCAGACCCAGGACCCAATTTCAGAGAGGTCACTCTCAGACTATCAGACTCTTTGCCCTTTGCAATGGGAAGTGTTGACAGGGTCTTGGGTTTCGCCAGGAGAGGCAGGCCTTGACTACCTTTGACCACTGGCTCTGTGGAGGCCCTTTTGGGTAAAAACATGGATCGGGTCAGGTTTGACTGAATCTGGCTGGCCTCGCTAAAATGCCCATCTGCACTGTCCTCATCCTTATTGTGAGAGGTGATGGGAACAGACGGAGGCATATTGTGGGAAAATTCCAGGATGAACTCCTTGGGAGGACTGGTGGATGGTAATGGAGGAGGGATGGCATTCTCGTCATCTGTATCCAGGGTCTTTGCTTCTGGCCTGCTGTCATCTTCATCATCACTGTCACGGACTTCACAGCTTGCTACAGAGTCCCTCATCAGAGGAGGTGGGGTGAAGACAGGAGTGTCGTTTCTCATGACAATCTCCTCCTCGACAACCTCTGAGAGCCGATGGTTCCTAAGATGATTTTGCCCAGCATCTGTTTCATCATAGGAGGTAAACGTCGGCAAGTTGGGCATGTCTGGAAGTGTGCACATCTTTCCAACACCACCTGCAGCCTCCTCATTCTCATTCATCTCCACCACATCCTCTTCATCGGACAATATCAGATCATCAATGTCCGTGACTGGAGGATCACTGGTATCCATGGCATCTTGTTCTTCAAATCCCCCAACATTACCACCAAGACGATGGTTGTCAATCTGTTGTTGGCTAACTGGGTTTTCTTCGCTGTGGTTTACAGCAACCGTAATCTGGTCTTCAGTTTTTTTCTGTGCAGCACCCTGTTGAGAGTCTCTCTGTGGTTTTGGCAGGGGAATTGAATACCTGTGCCTCCCGATGATCGGTTCAACGTCATCTTCTTCATCAGTTAATTCAGTATCCAGCATCAGTAGATCACCCAGGTCCTCATCCTCCTCCTCATCCTCCTCATTTGTGTCAGATGAATCCTCGTCTGGATACATAGAATGGTTCTCATTGGCCAAACAGATTTTCTTTGAGGCTTGTGGAGAGTCTGGTTCTTGATCTGCATCAGTGGCTTTCACTTCTTTTTTGGCAGGTGACTCGTCTGGAACCCTGTCTCTGTGGTTATCTAGCTGCTCAGCCATACTCTCTTCTGCGGCATCATTAGCATTTCCGTTGGTTTTCTTTGTGAGGGAGTTGTTTGTACAGGACTCTATGGTGTTCCACAATTCTTGTGTCCTGTACTCCAAGGTGATGCCATTTCGCTTCTCGGCATCTGTGGTGTTTATGAGTCTGGTCGCATTCAGCAGGATGGCATTGGGTTCGCTTTGCTCAATACGCTCCCAGTATTGGTTCTCAGTCAGAGCAACCTCAGTTGTTTGCAAATTCTCATAAATGCCTTCGGTCATCTTTTCCGAGATGGAAGTTGGATTTTCCAGCGGAGGATCCTTCATGTCCCTGGCAACAACAATCTGAATATTCAGGGGCAACTCTGAGAGAAGTTTGACCGTTTCGGCATAGGTCATGACTTCCAATATGCTCTCCTCTATGGCAAGAATGGCATCGCTGATGCATATTCCCCGTCGGCCTCCCGTCGCTCGCTCTGCTGCTCCACCTGGAGTGACATTCTTCACAGAGACCCCCTGGATGATGCTGTTGGGCCCTTTAGTGTGTTGGATGTTTAAACCCATGCCTAGTCTTTCCCCAGGGCTGCGGCATATCTGTAGGATGTCAATCTGTTTTCCTGGGGCCAATTCCTGGAAAGTATCTTTACCCTGGTCCCTGTTTTCTTTGTTCCCCTCGTCTTCCTTTTCCTCACTGACATCGCTGTTCTGGCAGGAATGAAGGTAGGCCTCGTACTCGTTGGCTAGGTCCGACCCGACCCTACCTTTCCGTCTGGAATTGCCAGGTCGTCGGCCGGGCCTGCCTACGGCTCGGATGGGTGACAAGTCTGAGGCGGAGTCTAATTCCCTCTCCATGCTGCTGTTCAATTCACTCTCAGAGCCTGATTTGTAGGACTGGCTGTCCATGAGAGACATGGATGATGATGACATGGACGATGACAAGGATGACGATTTCTCGTTTTTCAGGTCCCGTCTCGGCCCCATAAAGTTCATGCTTTGCATGGTTGCCATGGCGAGTTCGCTGACTGTCGGGGACTGGAGACTACCACTGGCGGGCGGGGCTTGGTGAGATGAAGACGCTGTGGTGCTCTGTATGACTGGCTCCACGTGGTCGGCAGTGATTGGTGCTGATTTGTCAATGGCATATTCTTCATTCTGTTATACAACAAAAAGCAAAGACAAAGAAATTGAACAAGTTAAAATAAAACACCTCATTTTTACGACCATTTTTAGAAGTCTCACATTTCCGGCCAGAACAGATGTCAAGTCCACATAAGACCTCACGAGTCTCAAATGATCTGTGATTAAAGTCCTTCCTTTGTCTATGTTCATCCCTTGCTATTTATGACTTAAATTGTGATTTGACTTTCCAGTGATTTTTGATGGACTCGACTATAACTAAGGCTCCAGTTGATACAATTTCTCACCATATCGTCAGGTGCATCACAAAGTGATAGATCATCTATGGACTTTGTGTGATGTGACTGTCGATATTTATATGTGAATTGAGACGTTAAAGCTTATCTTGAATATCACAGAAATTTGCCAGTGAAGAAAAAAAATGCCTTTTAGGCCAAAAAAAAAATTAGTCGGTCTCTGGTCAGCGCGCGCGTCGATTTTAATCATGCGCGTCGATCTTTTTTTTTTCCAAAATGTTCCGCGGTAGCTCCAACAGCGCCCTCTATTTCCGCACCTCCTCAATTTTGTTTACCAAAGAGCACCAAGGAATGGGAAATTGCACCAAGGCAAATGATCGAAAGCACCAAGGCAAATTATGGAGGGCACCAATGTACATGAGGACACCAAAAAAGCAAAATAGTACCCACCTTGTCTGTACAATCCAAGCTTGAAGAAAAAAAAAAAAAAAGCAAAAAAAAAAAAAAGCCGCGTGGCCGCGTCAATTCTGGAACTTTGGTCTGACCAGAGACCGAATATTTTTTTTTTTTTGGCCTTATATCTCTTTTCAGACTTGCCATTCATGGTCCAAGTATTTAAAAGACACTTCTTTGTACATGTATTTGTACACAGTACATCACCAAGATATTTGATCTCAAATGCACACCACATGCATACAAACAATAAAGTTGTTAAATTGAAATACAACTATACATGTACATTGTACAAAGCAAAAGACAGCAGCAAAAAAAAAATGAGGGGAAATGCTGAGGCCGTCAACCTGACAATTACACTTCAAAATTATTTAACAATGCAATTTGTCAGCTTCTGGGAAGTATACACACAATTAGGGGAAGCAGACAATTTTAGGTATTGTGTCTCAGTTAAGAAAGAAAAATGGAGACTGAAATCCACAGGAAAGTAGTCAGAAACACCCATTGGGGGTTACACCACGAAATGCGGTGACGTTAGTTTGCAGTTGCTTGGCCGAACAGCGGTTATGACTGGACGTCATAAAGGGAGATTGGGAATAAATGACAGCTGGTCCAGATTTCCAACAATATTGGCTCTGGTCTCAAGCAATCCACTTCAAAATAGGAATGGTGTCAACGACACCGGGGAAAAATGAAGCAGACTGGCAAGGCTGGGTGGAGGGTCTGGAATGGCTAACTTTTGAAATTTGAGCCACATTGCTTGGACCTCAGAGGGGGTGCTTTGTTATTTCAATTTAGAAATAATGAAGACGCAACAGGCTTACTCATGCCTGTCCACTGCTGTCTAACTCCACCTGAACACATAAGGTATATAGGAACCTTTTATTAAAGAATGGTACATTTATGGAACCAACAGAAAATAGTATTTTTGTGACAACCAATAGCAAAGCGGGCAACTGAACTTGAAGGGAAGGTATTGAAAAAAAGGTGTGGACAGGTACTCTTAGGCCAAAAAAAAAAGTCTCTGGTTTCTGGTATGGAGCTTGCCCAAAAAGTGGTGCGGCGACGCGGCTTTTTTTTTTTTTACCTGATTTTTTTGCTTTAAATGTCGGCTGATGACTGCAAATGGTGCCCGACTAAACTTAGTGCAAATATATGGGAGTCCAGAGAGGCCACATAAAGCTTATTCTCGACCATAACCCAATCTAAAAACACGTTAAAATTGTGCAGCAGCAGGATTCCAGTCAAACCAGTGAGTTTGGCGGTTTTGAGACATCATCTTTCACTGAAAAAAAAAAACTTTTTCATTTTGCCGACGCGCATGGCTACGGCGACGCGCGCGCATACCAGAAACTGGAGACTTTTTTTTTTTTGGCCTTAACTGAAATGTGTAAACCTATTAGTATTCATTGTTGTCTTTTTGTTTGAATACCGGTATCACTGAAAGCAACTGTTACTCAATTCTACCAAAAGCGTGTGAGCATATCCAAATTGTACAAACACGGACAAACGTTAGTTGCCTTTTCATATTTATTCTTTTTAGTCAACACTAAACGAGTAACAATGAAGCAAAGATAAAAACAGATGCAAACACAGAACACATGATAAGCGACAAAGCACAGAAGTTGTAAGATAAGCCACAGAGTTTAACCAGCTGAATGGAAAGGGAAAAAGCTTTTTGAAAATTTGGCGAAGCAAGATCGAAACCCTGTACACATCAATGCACTGAAGCTGTATGCATGCAAACATACCCTTGATGCCCACCGCACACGTTTGATTCGCTGTTAGTATTAAATGCAAAGTAGAAAGAGATGGGTACAAGAGAAAAAAAATGTTAAATGATGCTAGAGATTGAAAAAAAAACACACCAACTGGAGATATCCATTTGACATTATTGGGATTTTAAAAAAGACAGAAATGATGCAGGCTTTATGTAAAAAAAAAATTCAGTTACTTGAAAAGGATGCCGTTTAAGAATGTCTAATTCAATGAACGCATCAATTAGTGCTAGACTCCTCACTCTCTGTCCAAATTCAGCAGTTTCATCTATAGCTACAACTTTTCCCCACACCGTCAATTAAATAAAAACCAAAAATATAACCCCAAAGCTATATCCCATTAATAAAAACTGGTTGACCTTGACATTTACTTATGTGAGAAGCATGAGAGCATGTGAGCATTTGATTAGACTGGCTCTTTTGTGTTTACCCAAGTCGGACAGCACCCTTTGATTTTCAAATGTATATGGATGAAAAGCCCACATGGATATTAAAGTGGACTAGTATTTAGTCTCCTTTTAGTACCTTCATTGCTCCTCTACAACAAATTGAGATATTGATATGACAACACACCAATGTCATAGGGCTGTCCCGAATACACCAAATATTCAAATACTCAATCATCAACCAAATATTTGAATAGCTTTTTGCCGGTTTGAATATTAAAAAACTACACACATTAACACACGATCGTGATGTTATTTTATTTTATTATTTTAAAGTTGCGGCGCTTTATTGTCAAGTGCCACTTTTTTTGTCGATGGTAACTTTTTTGTCGACGGCAGTTCATTGTTCACATCCATTTGGCAGGTTAAAGCCTTTACTGTTATAAAATACTGCAAAACACTCCAGTGCCTCATATCGATCACTGCACGCAAATTTTAACTGGCGCACTTTGTGCAAATTTTTACCGGCGCAGCATGCACTTGCAGCTGGCATTATTGAATATCCGAATATTCGGTCAAACGCAGTTTCGAGTAATCGAATACTAAATCACTCAAAAATGGACAGCCCTACAATGTCAACTTTGGTCCTTACATTGAATTGAGTTCTTAAAGAAACATTTCAGTGGTTACTAGTCATTTTTTGTTTGTCCTTAAAAACAAAACAGAAACCTGCCTATTCTGAATATGAATGATATAGACTAAAGCCCAGTAAAATCTCCTACTTAATATACACCATAAAAATACAACTCCTGTCAGACTGCATGTCATATCAGACTGCATGAGCACTCCTATTAAAAATCCCCTCCCAAAAACTAGCAGGGGGAAAAAAAATCATTGACCTCCTACAGGAGCATGGAGACATGGGAAAACATCTGGGGACCACTCTAGCGGGAATATGCTAGGTCTAACGCAGGAAGGAAACACACCCGATGAAGGTGATTGTTATCAAACAGACTGGGTCCCAGACTATAGCAACCTCCCCCAGACATCATACGTAAAAGTCCACCGAGCGGAACTTGCGATCATGCAACATGGGTGATATCCAGACAAGGATCACCCAAGGTCGCTTGCGTCTTATCAGGGCTGCAAAACATGGGACACGCGACTCATGTACTCTGCTGATTCCAGAGTTACTCATGTCCCTCCAAGAAGTGATAAGATTTGATGTCAGAGCCTAGTTAACTGCTGTAGGGAATATACATTCCCCCAATGGGGGATTTTCACTGCTTTCTGAACTTCTAAGACAAACATGAGATTATCCCTACTGAACAGCTCCTGCTAAACAAACCCTAGTATTTGGTGTTGACAACTTTATAGTCGTTTGGACTTCATGTCAAATAAAAAGCAAGTTTTGTGTCATGAATCACACATGGCAAAACTCAGAGCAACTAAAAGGCTTTGGACTTTTGTGAATGTGCAACTTGAATATTAAACGTGACATCAAAAATCCATTTTTTGAGTTCACTTTGGGTCACGTATAAACAAGCCCTTAGGCCAAAAAAAACCACTCCGGTTTCTGGTATGCGCGCGCGTCGCTGTAGCCATGCGCGTCGGCAAAATGAAAACATTTTTTTTTCAATGAAAGATGATATCTCAAAACCGCCAAACTCACTGGTTTGACTGGAATCTTGCTGCTGCACAATTTTAACGTGTTTTTAGATTGGGTTATGGTCAAGAATAAGCTTTATGTGGCCTCTCTGGACTCCCATATATTTGCACTAAGTTTAGTCGGGCACCATTTGCAGTCATCAGCCGACATTTCAAGCAAAAAAATCAGGTAAAAAAAAAAAAAAAAGATGCGTAGCCGCACCACTTTTTGGGCAAGCTCCATACCAGAAACCGGAGACTTTTTTTTTTGGCCTTAGCTGTCATTATAAGTACTGATAGGTTACTAAAAGATGAGTTAATACAGGCGATTCCAAATACAGTGCGCCACCAAGAGTTTCCCATGGAGAGCCCATTTTTCAAGTTCACGGTTGACAAAAACATGGCCAACCTGCTGTGATTTGAACGATTGTCAGTAGACAACCTGAGGAAATTTTTTTGATAGATCATAGCACTCTTCCGCTTCACATAAAACATCATCTTGATAGAAAGGAAAGAAATACTAAAGGTACTTAAATCATTTGCTCACAAAACTACTGACCGGACAAACAAACAATTTTAAGTGTCCTGCACTGTGGCAAATTTGTCGACTGTCTCCCATAATGCACTGCGAAAATTGGACTCTCCAAGGCAACCCCTTGTTGGCGCACTGTATTGGTAATCGCCCGTATTGATGAAACATGGAAATTAATGTGAAGAAATGACTTGCAAAATAACATGACAAAAGATGAAGTAAAGATGAGGTAGAAAAAGTCGGAAGGAAGCAAGATCTACATATAAAATGTTTGTGAAATCACACTATAGCAAATTAATTTTGATCTTTACCTTGGGCCTGGCTGGTGGCTGTGGGGGTTCCGTTTCTTCAGTTGAGGGTTCCACATCTGTGGGGAAGACCACAAAATTTGCATTGATCCACAATTAATAACCCTAACCCACCTCACTCCTCCAAAATCCTCCTGGCGGTTTTGGAGGACTCTAGAGGATTGAGGATGAATGGTGATTGAATCAAATGAGGATTCTGGAGGATTGAGGATGAATGGTGATTGAAGCACATGAGGATTTTGGAGGATTGAGGATGAATGGTGAATGAAGCACAAGAGGATTTTGGAGGATTGAGGATGAATGCATTTTGAGGCAGGACTGTCTGATGATTTTGAAGGATTTGGCGTTGGTTATCCTTCATTTAAACACGAGTGCAAAGTTTTGGGATGAGGAGGATTTTGGAGGATTGAGGATGAATGCATTTTGAGGCAGGACTGTCTGACAATTTTGAAAAATTTAGGCGGAGTTGAACAATTTTGGAGGATTTTGGAAGATTGAGGATGGTTGTAAGCAACAAGGGCCTAGGGGGTTAGGGTTAACATGTGCCAATTGTTAAGTGGATTCTGTCATGAAAAACAAATTTCGTACAGTTTTGGACACTGTTGTGGATATTCCAGCAGGAAATCTTATGTTTATCATCATTATAGTCATTAACCCTGACCCTCCTCAATCCTCCAAAATCCTCCAGGCGGTTTAAGAGGATTGAGAAGGGTTGAGGCTGAATGGCAAAAAAGTGTCGGTTGATTTTGGAGGATGCAATGTGTCGAGTTCGTTGGCTGTACTCTGCATTGTTTATGTTCAGCCATACATAATTGAGCCCTGCATTAAGATCGATATCATCCACATTGCTTCTGAATGTTATCGGCATGCCTCAAACCATTAACAGTGATTGTTGGAGGATTTCGAAGGATTGAGGCAATGGTCACCCCTCCACTGAACAAATTCAGGAAATAATGGATGGTTGTGGAGGATTGGGCTGAATCCAATTTATACATGGTGGCAATTGGAGGATTTTGCAGGATTGAGGATGGTTCCTAGCCGAAAGGGCCTAGGGGGTAGGATTAAATATAAAAACAAGATGAATTTCCTGTTTTGGGCTGAGTAACCCTAATATTTTTTGCTTGTTTCAATTATTTAATTACACAAAAACAAGGCAGGTTATGATATGTAAATGCCAAAGACAAAGTTTCATGTCAAATTTTATGGTATAAAATTACAGTAAAAACGTCACCAATTAGTGACATTGCTAAAGTAAAAAAAAAAAGGAGAGAAAGCCATTTTTCACAGGCCTGGTCAAATCTGTGAACGTTTAAGGAACTTATGTTACAGACAACCTGGTTTGACATGTGACAATGTTTCCAGTTTTAAAAACAAAAATGATTGACATTGAGTTTACCCATTGAGAGATCTTGTCGTGGGGTGCTACCTTCTGATGTTATGTCAATGTTGTTATCATCTGGTTGCCCTGACAACGCTACCATCTCCATGGCTTTCTCCATCTCTGCTTCACATTCCTAATTTCCACGAAAAAAACAAGGGAAACGGTAAAAAAGACAACCGACTAAAATTGTTGAAAAACGTTTGACAAGACATGACTGACCATCAAGCATATACCCATCCTTGTCAAATGGAAAAAAAAAAAAAAATTCTACAGGGTGTAAAAAAAAACCAATTTACACCTTTTCAGATGCAGATTTCTCGAAATTGGGGAGACATGTTGAAATTGTTTTAAAATATTCCTAAACTCAATGTACAAGATCTTGGTATATAATGATAAAGGCGTTGAAAATAAAGCCTAAATTAAGAATGGCGGCCATTAATACAAAAAAATGGTAAAAAAAATGTTTGTCCACACGTAAATCTACGAGACATGGTCAAAACAATAGCACTGCGTGCAAAACAAACTGCAAAAATGACGACCATATCTCATACACACATGTGGACAAACTGGTTTTTGACCATTTTTCTGTAAATGGCCACCGCCGTTTTCACAATATACGACCACGATCTTGTAGTTTAAGAATATCTTTTAAAAATGTCAACACGTCTCTCCAATTTCGACAAGTCTGCATCTGAATAAGTATAAAACAATTATTGGACCACCTTGTATTAAAAAAAGGAAATTCCAGACTAACATTACATATTTAACAGAAATGTGGTCATTATAAAAAACACATCATGTTTTCCTCTATTTTTGTTTATCCAATTCAGACCACATTCCATTTTTTGGGGGGGAGGGGGGGGGGGGGGTTCCACTGTCAATTAACTTCCCCCAGAACATAGGGTATGAAAACACTAAAACACTTGATCAGTACTCATGTGAATGTTGCATGGAATCCAATTTACTTTGCCTTAATAATTCACATTACGCGAGATCTTTAATTTTATCCAAGATTATGTCCGATTTGTATTACACACATTGGACACATTACAATTGTTGCCATATTGATGTTAATGCCTCACTAAAAAAAAAAAACCTCTCAAAAAAAATGGAATGCAATGATCAGATTTTTCAATGCACACCAATTGCTGACATAACTTCACAATGGTTGCATATTCAGAGAGTACAAGAAAAAAACAATTTGAATACCTGTTCATTAGGATGCCTTGCAATTTTCAGCTGAACCGGGCCGGACTGCACAGCCCCAAACACTTTGTGTGCTCTCTGTAAGTTCACATTGCGTAGATCTTCCCCATTCACCTCCAACAACTGAGAGCCACGGCTAGTGGGAAAAAAAAATTAAACATCAAAATTCAGTAAATTTCCATATAAATTAATTTTTTAACAATGATAACGATGATCACACATAACAGCTGTAGATGACATCATCTGGGATATGTGGGGAAAAAAAACAGGTGTGATTTGGCACTCTGTTGCCATAGCAACAAAGCATTCTCTTTTGTTAGTCAGGCATCGACCTGCATAAAAATATCATGTAAAATACATTAAATTCAAATTATGATCATTATTTACAGCATCAGTTCGTTACGGCAAACGTCACTATGATTACTCGCAGTAATTAACATTTCCTCCACTGTCATTTATGTATTAAACGGAATCATCTTTTCACGGCATGACACTGCTACCTAGAAGTTTGATTGAACGATCAAATAATGTCATTCATTTCCTAATTTACAGAGATTGAAGTTAATTAGGTGTTGCGTGTGGACTGGCCTGGTCTGTTTTGACTCATCATTGGGCCTCACCCAACTTCATAATCTTAAAAAAAAATACACAAATAAACAGTTTGTGTGTTTGTCTAGCACTAATTCTGTGCATTTCCGGAGATTTGAATCTTAGGTCACGACTATCCAAATTACGACCTGCAACTATAATCCCAATTTGTTGAGCAATTACTATAATTTTTGTTGACATTGAACACTCTGAACTTGACCATTCCTATAGATATTTCTTTTCAGGTCTCTTGCGTAGATGATCCTCATAAATCAGCCTATCTGGCCAGTGCATGTCAGCCTTCCTGACAGATATAATTATAGATAAGAGGGCAACCCACAAATGATGAAATGGGCCTAATTTCCTGTCCTTAACTTGGCTGCATGCCCGACAAAACCATCCCCCACCCCCTCCCCCTTAACCCGCGAGTCAAACTTGACGGGTGCGTAACCCTTAAGCCCGCCGCACACCTTTCCTATGTTACCGGTTCACCGGATCGCTGGTAAGGTTATTTTCACCTCCTAAACCCCAAAGATGTCAATTACAGGACACTGGTACCCCATCCTTTCACTGGCTCCCAGCACATTCTTACATGAATCCCTTTAGAAATTCACTGGTTCCAAACTCCTGACAAAAGTCTACCCCTGCAAGAGTTAATTTTCACTGGTACTCTCCCTTGAAACCATTCAAGTATATTCCCAGACCTTGTTAACCCGTGGTTAGCACTTTTTTTGCCAACCACGGGTTGACAATCTATTGAAAGTCCAGGGTGAGTAAAAACAAAAAAGTAAACCCAAAAGTTAGGACTTTTTTTTCAATGAAGTTCTGCATGTAGCACTTTCAAAATCTAGGCTATGAAAGCCCAATTAATAAGCTTGCCGTTAGTACAAGAATCATTCAAATCACTCAAGTACTTTTCAAGTTATGGAATTTTAAACACAAACACCGTTTTTAAGTTCTGTCCACAGATCACAAAAAAGATAAGTGTTCTTTCAGCAAAACGAAAACAATTAACATACATTCCTATGTGAAAATGGCAGAAAGTCAGAGGTCGTTTACTTAATATACATGTGCTTATTGTATTCATAAAAATCTATATCATGTTCTGTACAACCCTGCAAAGTTTTTACTTGGGGGAAGGAGGGTGTTAAGCATGGCGGGAATGTCCAGTTTTAAGCATCCTTTTGGACAATGGGGTCAGGTCACTAGAGCCTCCTACAGGCATTGTCTCTCTCCGGGCAATTCCTAATAACCTGACAAAACTAATCAACAGTTCAACGAGCCTGACAGGTGCCAGCTTGTACGATGCTCTGCCCGGTCTGGTTGCAGCCTCATTACTTTCGGAAACTGGTCCGACAAATTTTACAAGCTATCATGGAAAGTAGGACATGTCTGAATCTCTTGTCTAGCACTATTGTCTACGTCTTCGACAAAGACAACTTTGTGGCAACTATCTGACAAAAGACAGAGCCATAAGCTTAGGAGGCCTGTTTTGGATAGGGTTGTATATATGGAGGCCTGTTTTGGACAGACCACCACGGAAACGAGGCAGTTAATCTGTGAATGTAGAAGTAAAAGTTCCAAGACATTTGAGCACATAATAGGTTACAAGCAAGAACAGGTTTCCATCTAAGCAATTGTGATGTCCACATCTCGGCCTAATTTCTAGAATCTGCGACGCAGAAAATAGATCTTCCCAAATGCATCTGCAAAGCAAATTTCGGCAAAGAATCAGTCACCAGCCAACGCTTATTGCATGACAGCGTGGCTGGTTACCATTCTTTTCCTAATCAAATATTTTTGTGTGCTTTCTGTATATGGCCAACTCAATTAAATTATCCCTTGAGCTCCGTCTTTACTTAGTAAAATAAAAGTTGCATGCAGCACTACACAGCAGCTTTCTGGACGTCTCTCCATTACGGACAAGCAGTGGCATTACTAACGGGGGCGCATGGTGGAATGGGGCGGGGGGGGGGGACATGAGGGATGAGGAACAGGGTGGGGTGGGAAGGGGATCAAGCTGCACGAGGACCCTAACCTTCTCCCATGATGCCCCATGATCCCCTCAAGATTGTGGAGGGGGACAAGGGATGAGAAACGGGGTGGGGTGGGAGGGGGATCAAGCTGCACGAGGCCTCTTACCCTCAACCATGATCCCCTCAAGATTGTGGAGGGGACAAGGGAGACAAGGGATGAGGAACGGGGTGGGGTGGGAGGGGGATCAAGCTGCACGAGGCCTCTTTATCCCCCATGATCCCCTCAAGATTGTAGGCAACGCAAAATAGGGCTGTTCATTATTAAAACCCAACTATTTCCCCTTCCAGAAAATGGATAAGGGGGATGCAAAATTGGATTCCAGTATATTGGATCTCCAAGAATTCACCTGTGAGACTTACCACAATCGGCCGTCTTTCTTGGCAGGCGATGTCTCTTCAAGATGCTGGATATACACCCTCCTCTCGTCACTAGCGTCAGGCTCTGGCAGACACACGACGCCGATGCCTAGACTCTCTCCTTGCTCTGGTTAGGCAGAGACAGAAAAGAAGAGCGTAAATTAGATGTCAGTAATTCAAAAAGAAACAAATTACATGGAGGCTAGGTTTTCATTACTTAATAATATTCAACATTATTGAGATTTTTTAACCTTTGGCTTGTTTTTGACTGGAGGGAAACTTTGGGGCCCCTCACTCCCCCACCCCCACCCCCAGATGAGCTGAGTAACCTTGAGTACAATGACATTTAATGAGGTTGCTGGGAAGTCAAGAGATTGTTGCAGCAAAGCAAAGTAATATTCACACTGCAAAAAACACTAAAAAGCCACCATAGCCAGACAATCAATACACTCAGCTTGGACACATGACACAAGACGCACATGCACCAAACTGGCGAAAAATTTTCCCTCCTAGGTCAGTGTCGCACTCCCTGTGTTTTTCCTGATTTTTTGGCGTTGTTCACAAATTTCCCAAGTTTTCCCGTGTCTAAAAAAATTGAAAGCCATTTTCAAGGTTTTCCCTGATTTCCAAAGTGGCTATATGGGCTCCGTGCGCCAATGAGAGAGGACGCCCTTTTACCTAGCAACAACGTCCCATGGGCGGGACATTTAGCTGGTTGACGCGCACCGTTCCTTGTGTGTGACGCACGTACACCAGGGGATTTGTACAATGTACACGCAGTGGTACATGGTACGGCTGCGCGTCGCGGCCAAAATTGCAGTCAAGCAAGATGGCGTCGGTCGGTCACCCCAACTGTGCTTTCTTTGCCGGTGAGGGGGTACTTGTGAACGGAGTGGATGGGAACCCCGTCGCACAAACACAACATGGCACATGCTGTGTCATTGAGATGCAAACTTCCACTTTGGAGGTTGATGACCCTCCCATTCTCAGGTCAGGAAAGAGGTTTGATATATTGCACCAATTACCTTTATGTAGTACAATCTCCTTGGTCATCTTGACACTGGGGTCTTCCTTGATGACCGGGGCTGAATCTTGAACGGCAGAGGCTGGAGAGTACTGCCTGGCTGCATCCTTGAAACCACTCTCAGCTCGAGACCTCTTCCTGTTAAAGCGAGTCAGAGGTTACATGTAATAATGTAGTTGAGTCTATTACAAGTCTGGTCACAAGTAAATCTGGCATTGTCAATATTAGTATCACACAAAGATGCAAAGTATTGACCCAAATCTAATGCAATATGTACTCAGTAAGTTTTAAAAGTCCTTTTTTCCCCAAAAAGTTCATCTTATTACATATGATGAGTATTCGGTTGCTTTGAAAAAGTGATACATGAAGCTTTGAGGACACCTTTTGAACATTTCCAGAGGGCAAACAGTGTTGCTCCTCCAATCATGCCTCTTTCAGATAAAATGCATAAAGTGTCCCCGGTGGCTGAAGTGTGAATTTTTGTTTGGAAAATTGTCTAATATTTTTTCCAATGTCCGTAGTTTGTCCGTATTTGAACAAAATTGAGCTGCTTGATTTCTTTGAAATGAGTACGAAAATTGTCCAAAAATAAGGAACGGAACTCTTTATTGCAGTTTCCATTCATTGTTGGAGTTGGTCTTCAATGCCTTACACTTGCCCTAAAAAAGGCCAACTGAATTATTGAGAAAACTAAAGTAAAGGAACTTGGTCTCAAACAGGGATCATTTTTCTAAGCAAGATAACAGAGTCAATTTATGAATATGGCTAATATAAATATACCGGTATATTTCTCTTTAACAGAAGGAAAAGAAAAGTATGGTACAGGAAGATGGTATTCATTTGGGAAGTGTCGGAGGTGACGATTTAATCATAATCCCTTGAAGTTGAAGTTGATCCCTTTACCTTCTGGGCGGGGCCACCGGACTGTCTGCGGGCGAGGCTGGCCTCCCAACCAGTCGGCTCCGCACTGTCAGGGTCACGACCCCTTTCTTTATTTGCTATAAATAGAAACATCCCAAAAATAAGCAGAGATAATCATCATTCAAAAGCAAACAGTGAGTTTTGTTTCAGATTCAGCGGTTGTGTACAAAGTCTATGGAGAGTCAAGAAAATTGTCTAAGTATTTCTTAACAAAATTGGAAATGTTTCTCAGTCCCAGGTTCATGTCTTATCATCATTTTTTGCAATGACTGACCGTCATTGAGATGATATATGAAGAAAAAGTGGCATCAGGTTGCAACATTCTTTCCTTCTTTTCACTTGTGCTCTTTTTTTTGGGGGGGGGGGGGGGGCTGGAATGAATGGGACAAATCTGTCCCAAATATCAACAAATGGCCAATTAATGAGTGAAAACAAACATCTTCCTGGACAAATCTGTATACAATGGACAGTCAAGCCCCATTTGTAATCCCTATTAATTGATTACATAACCTGAATTCTAAGCCTCTGTAATAGATTTTCGTTTTAAATAGGAAACCAGCCAATTGCTTTGGACAGCTGCAGTAGTGTGAGAGATGGGGGAGGTGAATCACTGCTGTTAGATAATAATACTCAGCACACAATTCATTAGGGTGTACATCGTCGTGTGCACCACGAAGTGACGGATCGTCTATGGACTTTGTGCACAAGATACCTCACTTCGTGGTGCGACCAACGATACAGGGCGAGTAAAAAAAATGAAACCCAAATGTCGGGACTACTGTTTTATTGAAGTTCTGCATGTAGCACTTTCAAAATCTAGGATATGAAAGCCCAATTAATCAGCTTTCTTTTAAGAAAAAAATCATTCAAATCACTCATGTACTTTTCAAGTTCCGCAATTTTAAATACAACCACCGTTTTAAGGTTCTGTCCACGGATCACAAAAAAAGTGTTCGTTCTTTCAGCAAAACGACTACAATTCACACACATCTCTATGTGATTTCTTTTCGTTTTGTTGTAAGAACACTGATCTTTTTGTGATCCGTGCACAGAACCTTAAAACGGTGGTTGTGTTTAAAATTCTGTAACATGAAAAGTACATGAGTGATTTGAATGATTTTTGTACTAAAAGAAAGCTTAAGACTTGGGCTTTCATATCCTACATTTTGAAAATGCTACATGCAGAACCTCCCTAAAACCAATGGTCCCAACATTTGGGTTTCGTTTTTTTTACTCACCCTGTATGTAATGTACAAAGAATAAGTGAAGAGTTTACATGTTGGTCACAGTAAGCAGCTTGTTCTGACAAACCGGGGCCTTATTTTTGCGGCGATTAAAACCAAAGATATTGCTTAGTGAATTTTTTTACACTAAAAATGGTTAGCTGGGTTCCAGTAACAAGCATTGTTCATCGCATGAAATTTTGGCTGGTAACCTAGCTGGTGGCTCATGATAAAGGCCTTTTCACTTTAGAGCCTGTCCACCCGGGTTGAACTCAACCCTGGGTGAACCAGTGCCGCCCCGGTTTGAAGTTTTGATATTTCGACCCCGCGTTCAACCCCGCATTGTTTCACACTTGTTTCGTGCAAACCGAGCTTATTTCGCTCAATTACTACGGTAGAGAGTTTCAACCCGGGTTGAAAATCTCAACCCTGGTCTGGAGCAGGGTTGACTTCAACCCCGGGCAAAATCAAGCTCAGGGTTGACGCTGGGTTGAACAGTTTCAAGTGTGAAATGCTACATGTTTTCAACCCTGCGTCAACCCTGACGTGTCAACCCTGTGTAATCTCCGAGATTTGTCTAGTGTGAAAAGGCCTAAACTTTCCTTTTTGGGGGGAGGGGGGGGGAGTTCTTTTTTGAGCTCAGCAATCTGTGTCCTTATCCATGTTGTTCCATAAAATTGGCCCCTGACAGCTATTGACTCTTCCTGCCTGTCAAACAGTTCGCATTGATGAAATAGATCACATTACGTTTTATGTTCCGATTATCCAATACAAGACAGGCTATATCATTAGTCATGGCCTTTTTTTTGGGAGGGGGGGGGGGGAGCGTTTTAAGCTGTAATTTCTGTCTATAAAATCCAGTCAGAACTAGTACCTAGCTACTCCAAACAAGGTACTTCCTTCACGGGGCTCAGTTTTGATTTCCTGTGTTGTGTTGCCATGGAAACCAAACATGATGGTGTGATTGCACTAAAAAGGTTCCTGACTTCTTTACTTTTGACCGGCGAGAGATAAAATGGGATCAGAAATTGGTGAGTAGAGCTGATTAGGTTTTTTAACAGCTTGAAAGTTGCATGAGGGAGGTTTCTTAAAGAGAATTTTTTTTAGGGCAATAACTTCATGTTGAACCTGTTTTAATGTCATTCATTTTTAATGGGCTGCAAAATTAATGTAAAGAAAATTAACCCCAAAAAAATTAAGATAAGAAAGAGGTTAGTTAAAGGGAATATACATCATTTGCTTTTGCTGTAATTTTCAGAAATGGATGGAATTGGGGGGTTGGAAATATATAGCAAATATAGTTACACTGACTTTTTTGAGGTTTTGGGTTCGAAAATGCTATAAAAAACCAAGAATAACGATCATTTTCCTGTAGTCTGGTTCCCTGACTCCATATAAGAAGAAACAGAGCAGTTTACATACATTGGGGAATTGTAAGGTCAGGGAACCAGTCTAGCTGGCCCGTACCCGTTCATAGGTTTGTAATCAATTGCAAACAAGTGCGATGGTCAATCGGGGCCAGTATTTGAGAAAAAAAAGCCAGTTTTTTTCCAACGCTGGTCGGCCGATCAGCGTTGGAAATTGATACAAAAATACCACTTTTCTTGAAAATGACAGTATACCAGGTGCCATGATTTTACAGGATGCTTTACACTGTCATTCACTAACAGTCCAGCAAGGTATTTCAAAATGATTTGGTAGTTTTTTTTTTCCGATGTTTGCAAATGTTGTATTTTCCCTTTAATTTTTTTTTTAATTGAATGTGAATCCATACTAAGATACTCTTCAAGATTAAGGTTTTAATACATTGTTTGTTACTTACGTCCGAACTCTCACAGCCATAGTGGCCAAATTACGGTTCAATTTATAGATTTGTTACAATAAAAAAGTTTGAAAAATTGCAAAAAGGAATTCAAAAATCTGAACGCAAAATCCTATTCTGGAAAAGTACACCACTTCGAAATCCTGACATATGAAAAGGCGCCATTCAGGGTGTTAACCGGGTTGTGCCCCCCAAAAAGTTGGGTGGGTCACCCACAGGTGTGAATTAATGGCAGACAGGAAATGGACTGGCAGTCCCAGCAGAGGGTCTGACTGCCAGGCTAATCAAGATGGACGGTCTGACAGACAGACTGACAGACATGGCAGGTAGATAGCCTGGTGAACAGACTGGAATTCTGGTAGGACAGGGCACAGGTGAAAAAATTAGTTAGGGTTACAATAGCGCTCATCAGCCTGTGGAGACAAGACAGTGCATTGGCCTTTAGACTTTACTAGACTGGATATCTGGCCCACGAACAAGGACAGCAAGGACCCCCCCAAAAAACTATGAATTTGCATTCGCTGTTATGCCCCAGGTTAGAGGTTAGACGTACATACATGTACATGTACGCAACTGTAAGCAATGATATGGCAAATCACACACATGTGCACTGGTCAATATTTAAACCAAGTTAATAATAATAGTGCATAAATTTATAAAGTCACACATCCATGGCTATTGGTGCTGAAGGCCCTACATCATTTTTAACCTTGCACAACGGGCCCAGAAAACATTCCAAAGACTATCTCAGCTCACACAGCTCCATGACACTGTTCGGCAGTAGTACTAGCTAATATCAATCACAGTACAGATGATCTTATTTTATTCACAGTACAAACGATCTTTTATCTTGGAAATACCTTGAATTTGTTGATTGCTTGCTTGTGGGTCATTCCTTCCATGGATTCAGCATTCACTGCCAGTATTTCATCTCCTATGAACAAAAAATGGACATCCAATAGCATTTTCTTTCATAAGAATGCCAAGTACATTTGTAAGGGATTGTTTTTAGCGGGGGTGGGGTGGGTCGGGGTGAGTCGGGGTGGGGTGGGGTGGGGGTGGGGGTGGGGTGGGGTATGGGGGAGGGAGTGGGGGTGTTCAGGGTTCAGAGGCTTTGTCAGGGATCTACGTGTAGGTGGTCAGAGCAATGTGATATTTTGAATTTGGCATGTTGGGATATGGGGATCTGCCACACCTCCCCCCCCCCCATGCCACACCTCCCCCCGATGCCACACCTCCCCCCACACCCCCCAGATGTGCCCATGATACACAAAAATGCGAGTCCAATTTTACAAAACTGGTGTCACAAGGTGCCTAAGACGTTGCCTGAAAAAGCCCCTTGGATTTTCACCAAAAGTATGTTCTTTCACGTTAAAACAGAACTGACAAAGAAATATGCAAAAAGTCTATTGCACCGTACCTTCCTTGAGTCTGTTATCGGCAGCAGCGGCACCCGATGGAAAGACGGTCTTGACGAATATCCCCATCTTGCCTTTAATCGAGTCCTCGCCCCCGACGATGCTGAACCCCAACCCCTTCCCATAAGCCCCCTTGATGAGCGCGATCTGCTGCACCACGGTGAGGCTGGGCGAATTCCGGCCCGTGGGGTGGTGGGAAAGCTTGGGGCTGTCACTCCTTGCTGGCTGCTGGTTAGAACAAATAAGGAATAATCACTCTTTGTGTGCAGAATGAGTTGTCTTAATTAGACAGAATAAAATAAATGTGCTACATGGGCCAAGTTCGGGCAAGGACCATTAGTCGACTAGTGGTTGATTTGTGACGTACCTTACGCCTGCGCACTAATAGCAAAGTGCGAACGTCTCTAGTCGAACGCTGGTCAAAATGTCATTGCAAAACGTCTGGATCCCGGCTCCCTGCTGTACGTTATGAACGCGCCCGGCTATGGTTACCAGCGAAGCAACCAACCCCAGTAGGTTGGTTCCAAATAGTCGACTAGCGTAGTTAACAATCGTCGACTAGACAGAGTTCGGGCAAGCGTTAGTCGACCAATGGTTAACTATAGTCCTTGCGCGAACTTGCCCATGGATGTCGATATATTATATCAACCACTAAAAATGTATGGGTGTTTTAATGCCCCTTCAAAGTTTAAAGACATACAAGATCATTAGTTTTTCATGCATTTTGTTCTTTTTCCAATAATAACACCACTCAAAATCCAAAAGAAGAATGGTCAAAACCTAGCCTGTGGAAGTTTCAGCTCAATGAATATTGCACCTTTTGAGAAAACAGTGAAAAAAACCATGGACATGTTTTGAACACAAAACACGATTTCGTCCATGGCATTCTTTATTTCCAAAACTCAGTCAAGTGACAGATTGCTGGAAATCACCTACATTTCTTAATTTCTTCTAATTGACAGCAAGCCAGATGGAATAATTTCATGGGGTCTTTAGTACCAGTCTGATCTTTAATCTGAGTAAGTTTTTGATGATATTCGGTCGGTTACTTTTGGAACTTTAAGTTACTTTAAGTGCAAAGAATGTAGTAATCATTTCCTGCACCGTGGAGAATCGTGGAGGATCGGGAAGGTTCTTAGCCTAGTAAGGCTGGTCCACGAGTGCACAAAAATTCTATTCAATCCGTTCAGAACAGCAATTCACTGGAAGTCTTTCCATGCATGTGGCCTAAAAAAATGGGCCGGATTTAGCCCATTCGTTGTTGGCATTATGAGGTTATCCTTTTCAAACATTTGGGCAAAGGTGAGCCTTACGCAAGTCTAATTCACAAGTGACAGTTAGCCCATGTCCGAATTACTTGGCTACGGCTTGAATTACACACAAGTCTATGCGAAGTGACTGCAGCCGCTTCGCATAGACTCATGTGTAATTTCAAGCCGTAGTCAAGTAATTCAGACATGTACATGTACTTGGCTACGGCTTGAATTACACACAAGTCTATGCGAAGTGGCCGCAGCCGCTTCGCATAGACTCATGTGTAATTTCAAGCCGTAGTCAAGTAATTCAGACATGTACTTGGCTACGGCTTGAATTACACACGAGTCTATGCGAAGTGGCTGCAGCCACTTCGCATAGACTCATGTGTAATTTCAAGCCGTAGTCAAGTAATTCAGACATGTACTTGGCTACGGCTTGAATTACACACGAGTCTATGCGAAGTGGCTGCAGCCGCTTCCCGTAGACTCGTGTGTAATTTTAAGCCGTAGGCAAGTAATTCGAACATAGCCTTAGTCAGAGGGAAAGTCAATGAGTAAATCAGTAAGTGACTCAGTCATTCAGTCAGTCGAGTGCAAAGAGGACTACAGGCTTTCTGATTCTGCCTCCTATTTGTTATTATGGAAAATATTATCGTCAATTAGCAGCGGGGTCAGGGAGTGACCCGAACAATTTTTTTTCCTGTAAACTCCAAAATGGCCGCCGGCATTTCATCTCACAGTTGTTGATTGAAGCGATATCTCGCTTAGACAAAAGATGAAAGAGATTGACACTGACGCCTTTCAGCTCCCAATAGTCTCACAATTTGAGTCTCGATGTATTTCCATTTTTGGCAGCTTTGCCCACAGGACAGGATATATTCCTGCCAATTGAATAATGGCTTGCTTCCCGTAAAATAACGCTTCATTACGAGTGGATCAGACATCACTGGCAACAAAATTGACGATCTGACCCAATTATGTCAATATATTTTTCACTTGTAATGGACACCCAACTCTGCTGTCAAAATTTTTTTACTTTTTTTTTTAAAATTTCTCTGATATACTCTGTCTGTAGCACATGATTACTCAGTTCAATTTATTATCATGTCAATGTGATAATCCCTCGCCTCCCCCTTAAATTAAATTAACTGACTTTCCGGACATATGGGAATACACTGTTGAATTAAAGGGAAAAAGCACATCATTTGCAGCTACCCAAAAAGTAACTGACCAAATTATTGTAAAAAAATGCTTAATTGGTATAAAGATAGTAATGGCACTAATCTCCCTGTGAAATTGTTCCTGCTTGCATGTTATCATTTGAGGAAAACAATCAAAGAAGGAATTTCCAAAGATGTGTCAAATGACACATTTTTGGAAATTTCCAATAGCAGTTGGTTTGTAACTGGCAAATCCGTTTGTGGATGCGCGCAAACATTGACACAACGCACACACGCGTGCAGTTGCTATTATTCGTTGGTTCAGTGGGTGACATCCAATCAGCTGAATGGGAACTTGTTCCAGATGCTGATTTGGGGCGCAATTCAAAATATGAATTGACAAGTTTTGAGTTAAAATGGAACTTCTAGAATGTTGTTTCCTCAAAATATACAGCATTCACTGAGCTAAAATTTCATCAGGTTAGTTGTGAAGCACCCGTCTGTAGATTTAGAGCATTTTTGTAGCTTCAAACGAAACAAATGCACAAATGACAAATGATCTACTCTACCTTAAAATGTCTTTGGACGACAAAATAATACATACTGTTATTTCACTAATGAACTATAGAACTGAAACATGAATCACGAGGTCATTTGTTTTGAGGTGTCTGGAATCAATTGTCCAGGGAATCAATTCCTCCAAAATTATTCCATGTTCACAATTGATTCTATTCTTGAATCACCCAAGCCTAAGGCCCATTCACACTATGCAAAATTTCTGTGTTGGACCCAAGTAGGAGAACCAGAGATTTCAGGAACACTTTCACACTAGCTAGAATCTAACATGGCTTCTGCGAAGGTCCAGCACTCTACACGGGTACAATTTAGCTCTGGTTTGTGTCAAGTGTGAGTTGTATGCCTTGTCAACCTGTGATCGATCCGATCTTCCATGTATAGTGGACCCCTGTTTATTTTAACACTGGTACGCGTGATGACAGTGTGAAGAAGCCACTAGTCTCTAGATCTACCATAGCCTTTAATTAAGCCACATTTTCTACAGTACTTTATAGCCATGATGCAGATTTTCGAAGGGAAGGGTTCAATGTTTCTCTGAAAATGTCCCCCCAGGTCAAACTGGGAGGGGAAGGGAGGGGCAAAACAGCTGGAATCCTACAGAGCCAAGTCCTAAGTGCCTCATGGACATCATCTACGTTGACATGTCTCCCCTCCCCAATTGGAAGGAAAAGGTGGATGGGGAGAGGTGCAAGAACTATGAAGGCCAAACCAATTGCTTGGGGGAAGGGGAGGGCTATTAAAGTATCAGGCAACCCTCATCTGAAATGATGGATGACAGATAATTGCAAAAAAGTGTCATTACACCCCATAAGTTTTGATTTATTGGGCTCCAGGACCACTTCCCTAAACAGAAGCTAGTTTTGACCCTGTACGCATGTAGGGCAAGATCAGTGGGAGGAACAAGTTTTATCCTGAGGAAAACTTTGTGTAATGCAAGTTGACAGCAAATGGGTGAGCTTAAGGACTGGTTAATAGTGTGGCATTGAAATGGCTTTACACCAGCTTCCTTGTCTCATGTGGCAGCTCTCACAGCTTCATAAAAACCAGAGACACCAGGTTGACATTTCTGTTCTTGAATAGCACACATGCATTAATTACCACCGCGTTTGATAACTTCCCTCACTTCTCTCGTGCTTACCCGTACTTTCGTCTTGGGTATAGATGCACATGTATGCCCAATCTGTAGCAATAAACGATCGACCTTGGGTTGCTCGAGGTCGAGCCATAGCAATATATTCGCACTGTGTTGTGGGATACTTACCCAAGTAACCAGCTTAGCGGGTCGGTTACTTGGGCCAGGCTTTGAGTAAGCGAGAGAAGTCATGTGAGAGTTAAATTGGACGCAGTCGCACTTGCATGAGTAAGTGCAGGGAAGTAATCGAACACGGTCGTAATGTACGTGCATGGATCATGACGCCAACTCAGCCGTAACAGAATATGCTGCATGTTCAAAGCATTGTGCTATATCATAAAGCACAAAAGAATGTGGATGTGTGTCTTCATGAGTTGTTCAAGCATTGACTGTTCTCAAGATGATTGCTGGCAAGGTGGATGTTGTCCACATAACGGGCCAGGCGGTGAAGCCGCCTACCCCATGCAGTGGGCAAGGCGAGGCCCCATTCGTTCTTTATTTTTTAATCATGACTTTGGCTGGTACATATATCTATCATTTTAAACCCATGCACTCAATGATTTGGTTTGATTAACACTCACCACACACAAATGTCACTTTTCTTCAAGTCAAATTTTGCTAGTAATACACATATATGAAACAACTGGGGAAATTTGATGAACAATGTAGAAATCAAAATACCTCAGCCCAACAGAAGCAAAAAGTTCACTTTATTTGAGCCAGCAACAAATACAATTCAGCTTTGCAGGTATTTCAATAATAAATTTGAGTACATTTATGGGCATTGTTTTGTTCTCATAATACCTTTTCACACTTACATCTTGCCTACCCATGTTAAAATTTACATAAATTAATAATTTATATTTATTTACATCAACACAGGTCCACTAAAAGTGCAACTGCAATCCTGGCCAAATCTTGCTGGGCCTCCAACCCCCGGCCCCCGTTCAATGTTGTCTCTCATTGCGCGGTGTGTGCTCCATCAGCTGGAGAGAACAACATTGACCGGGGGAGCGGGGGAGTGGGTGACCGTGGCAGGCTCAGGAAGTGTCCCAACCATTTTGGACCGGGATTGTGGGTCCCATTGAATCGGGGTAGGTAAGGCATACTGTTCACACACTCTTGTTCTGTAACTGTGGGGACTACACACGTGTTGTTCCATGGTATTATGGGGACCGAAGACGCTGTGGGGACAGCAGAAAGTCCCCACAACTCGATCCTCCTTTCCCCAACAATAAAAACTTCCCTGTAACACGGTGACGGCCCGCCCGCACTTACACCAGTGTGTACACAGGTCGGCGTAGAGCTTCTCAACATGGGAGTCGTGAGGGGGGGGCAAGGGGGGGGCGCTTGCCCCCCTGGAAAAGCACCAAAAAAAAAAAAAGGAAGGAAAAAAAAGAAAAGAAAAGAAAAGAAAAAGAGACGCCAAGTCATAGTGGTGTAAATTTAAAGAGTTTTTTGGGGGCAAAATGTCCCTGCCCCCCTCTTAAATTGAGAAATTCGGAATATATTGAGAAATACAGGCATTTTTTGGGGAAAAATATGTTTTGCCCCCCTCTAGAAAAAATCCTGGCGACGCCCATGCTTCTCAACCCTTGTCCTAACCAGGGTTGGGTTTTTACCCGTGTAAATAGCACTGGACCCGTGTATAGAAGCCATGCTGGATTCTTCCTTGAGCAAAAGGAATTACCAAAGTCTCTGTTTTGGACCTGGGTCCGACATGGAGATATTGGTACACTACGAGGCAAGGTATCCAGTCTACCTGTCCAGGAATCTCTGATCAGATAAGCTCAACTCCTTCAGCTACAGGTATCACATATCAATGCACCTGTAATGTACAAGTTCCTGACTGATTCAACAGCACCTTCTCCTGGTCCGTACATCCAGGATGACTTGTCAGGTTAACATAAGCCAGAGTCGTCCGAATATGAATGCCTCGGGGGCTAGAAATATGATATGGATATACCAGGAGCTTCCTGTAATAATCTTGGGAGTCTTATCACCGGATAGCTTGGGGCTGTATTTGTGGCTTTCACAAGGGGATCTTTGAGAAACTTCTGAATGAACGAAATCACAGAAAGTGTCTGCGAGTGTGAGAACTTGCAGGAATCACTTTGAACGCAAGGAGGTTTTTTTGCAGTTTTATTATTTGTTTTAAAAATAAATATGCAGAAATATGACCAACTGTTCAGTTGAAAAGTGATGCAGATGTGTTATGGGTCACTGTCTTATTAATCCCTTCTAATTGGGCGCATCCAGGGCACGATTGCACAAAGCTACTCTGTAGAAAATATTGCTTAGCAGATTCGTGTGCCGAGTGAACATTTGCTGGGGACCAGTCACATGAAATGTAAATTGCATGACATTTTGGCTGGTAACCTATGTTTGCTATTATGCACATACTATGTTTGTGCTAAGCAATTATGTGTGATTCTTGGCAACTTCTTGAAATATAGTCTATGGAGTACCCCCTTGCACTGCAAGGGTCTATGATAAACAAGCAGAATCGGTGATTAATTATGCACAACAAGACTGTGTCCTGACCTCGAGATTCTGTCCATTCAGCGGGTGCCTTACTTCTAGCGGGTCGTCCGTAAGACGTTGTTGTATGACAAAAACACTTCAGCCAAACTGACCAAAAAAAAGCTTACAATGTAGTCCACATTTCTGATCGAAATAACAACACAATTTCTAAATTCGCTTCCGATTGGCTGGCGAGCGGGGTTGCATAAAATTTGCCTTGCTCAGATATATCAGACGTTGGCTACTGAGAGGGCACCGTTGGACAATGGGTGATACTCAGACTACTTGAAATTGGCCCCAGTCAGCAAACTTTTTATCCAAAGGGCAGAAAAGAAAGAACACCCCCAGATTTCATATCTCGCCAGATTTTTGAAGAAAACAATCTATTGAAGAAAACAATTTAATTCTACAAAATCCAGGTGGGCCTGTAATTATGCAGTTCAACAAGATTTTTATCCAAATGGCAGGAAAAAACGAGCGACCAAAATCCCAATCAAATTTGAGCCTTCGACTCCAAAAAAGAAATTACCCCAAGAAATTCAGGGGGGTGGAGCTGCGAACTCCATCATCAACTTCTCAAGGTGACAAGAAAAAGAAGAGAGCCCGGGCAGAGAGGAAATTTCACTCAGCGGCGCCGCCAAGAGAAGTGAAAAAGGAGGAGGGGAGGGAGATTTGATCCCCGCTGCGCCGTGGCCCGTCTAACAAGCGAGTCCTTCCTCCTGAGGATGTCACCAATTACCGAGGAACAACGGGGGCTCGCCGCAGAGTGGCACGCAATGGGGGGGGGGGGGGGGTTTGGGAGAGACACAGGGGGGCGATCAAGCTCAGGCTTGGGGTTTTCCTGGGGTGAGCAGGAGGTTAATTATAATTACTCAATAGATAGCAGCCTGTGTAACTGAGAAGCCTATCCTGATGGTGCTCTTGCACTTTTTTTGGGGGGGGGGGTCCACCCTTTTTGACGGCCAATACTTCATCTCGTTAATCTGGTTGTCCAGACTTGAAGTTAAACAGACTTTTTTCTTGATGAAATCCAAGCCATTATGACTAAAACTACTCAATCAAATTGCTTACATGTACTTCTATTTGTAAAGGTTTCTCAACTGGAACGGCTTGTGATTAGTGGTGTGCATTTACGGGTAGTACGGGAACCGGGTACCCGATTGAAGTAAAACACGGATAACCGGGTACTCGTAAAAGAAACCCCATCCCAAAATTCCAATCCCGGAAGTTGTCTGAAGGGCTTTTAATAGCTTTATGGTGAAAACTGCAACTTTCCTGAGCATCATCTGTTGCATGTTATACATGAAATCTGTTTTGATTTTCAATGTAGCCTGGTTTTTATTTTGAAAATTCGCACAAATGACATTCAAAAACTTGTCTTTTTCATTGTCTGAGAAGTAACTTTGTCATTTGTACAGTTGGTTTTGGGTACCTGATCCCATAATCTGGAACCGTTCCCTGACATCGGCAGTCGATTACCCGGGTACCCAGTTCCGATGCACACCCCTACTTGTGATTTTCTGAAGTATCCAATTTTGAAAAGGGTTTTTTTTTTGAAAAACAACAAGAAGACCTATGATTTCATTGTGAAATTGATCCAAGTCAATAAAGGTTGTATCCTGTACATGCAATGAGGCCGACACATAGCCAGGGTGGCAGACATAAAGCCAGATATTTTTCAGATGGAGCAGAAATGGGTGTGTCTTATGAATAACAAAAGGCTAGATATTTTCCCTACTTCAGAAGAGGAACACAGGAGTTGGGTGGGGTGTAAAAACACCACAATGTTGCTTGCTACGCTGTAGCAATATCTAACATAACTCTGCTTTGCTATATTGTTGTAGGGGTTCCGAAGGATTGTTCTGCGAGATACTTCTCAAGTTTTTCCCCTCATACTGACTCTCTCTGGAACTCCCTTCCTGAAACTTGTTTCATCCATCCCCAGCACGTTGATTTGATTTTTTTAAATGTACTTTGGAGAACAACCTTCCCAACAACCACCAGTATTCGAGTATATTAATGATGTAGTGTGTGTTTGAGGACTTTTTTTGTTATTGTTACTTGAAAAACTGGGCATCATTTTAAAACTTGAAAAAACTGGGCATCATGCTTTACAGCTACACGTAGTTCTAAACATCTTACAAACATACTGTTAAACTTGACTGACAGCACAGCAAAGTGGATCAACTGGATTACAGAGCCCATATCAAATAAAAGCGAAGTGATTGTTCCACGAGGATGAACAAGACTCGAAATAGCACAATTTCCGAGACAATACAAACCGATCCTCGGCTAAAAATCCATCAATTGACGCTTTTCCCATTTCCTCCCAGCTGTAGCCTCTCTCGAGGAGAAAAAAACGAGGCGTAGAAAAGTGGCTTAAACCGCACTGTAATCCACAACAATAATCCTCATTTGAGGTATGACTCAAAGCAGATGGAACAGCTGGGGACGATTTTCTGCTTTGGAACTGGCAAAAAAAAGAAGGCAATCGATGCTGCATGAATTCAAGTAGATCCATTAAGTCTCGCTCCATGACGTTTTGACCAATTACAGCGGTGATAAATGCCTGACATGGATGCACAAGAGTCTAGGATGCATGTACATGTACACGTACATGTACATGTACATGGGTATGACATGCACAGCTGGAACATGCACTTTGGCACTGGAGAGGCGCACATGTTGTTGTCAGCGAAAGGGACACTTTCTCATTCAGCTGATTGCAGCTACGCGATGTCACGTACCGACGAATAATAGCAACCACGCACGCCTGTGCTTCTTGTCGACGCTTGCGCAGATCCATTCACGGATTCGCTGAGAATACAAACCACTACTAATGGAAATTTCCAAAAATGTGTCACTTGACTTATCTTTGGAAATGGCCTTCTTTTTGGTTTTCTTCATACTGACAGCATGCCAGAAAGACTAATTTCACAGGGAGTTTATTGCCATTACTATCTTTAACCCAAGTAGGTTTTCAACAATAATTTGGTCAGTTACTTTTTAGATAGCTGCAAATCATATACTCTGCCTTTAAACTTAATCAGTATGTTTTCAAATAAACAGGCAAATTTCGTGGAGCTAAGCCAGAAATCTGCTTAGCACAGAAAATATCTGTTCAGCAGAAACAGGTTACCAGTCAAAATGTCATGCAATGTGTATTGCTTGCAACTGGTTCTCAGCTGTTTTTTGCTTGTACATATAAATTAGCTAAGCAATATTTGTCTGCTTAGCAGCTTTATAAAATTGGATCCAGAAATGAAAAAATGACAAACCTTGGGTGGAGATGACGCATCGGGGACAGCCAACCGATTCACCAGGGTTTCATGCTGCGTCTCCAAGCTGGTCTTCCTGTTGGAGAAATCAGCAAGAAAAAAAAATCGAAATTTAATTACTTTCACAATAAATTCTAAAAATTTAAAATGACAGTAATAAACTTTACTCTATCTGGTTGCTGCATTATGGGTTGAACCAATTATAAGATCTGGGTTGAACTATTTTAGTAGTCACAAAAGAAATTAGACATTCTCAGTACTGAATATGGTAGATGAGAAGTGACAACAAATGACACAGTCATTGTACTTTGATCAAACTGGGTCAATAGTGGCTGGGCCATACTTGTAGTTCTCATACTCTAGTAACATTTTTTTGGTACTCGTACTCGTGGATATATATACTTGTATTCGTACAAAAAAAATTACCTGGACTGGTACTCATACTCGTACTCATGCTTGTACTCATACTTGTACTCGTAGTCGTACTCTTGCAAATATTCTCCCGCAAGAATTTTAAAAAAAATTAAGAGCTAGATGCAAGAAAAGAACCAGTTTGCTACTCATTTGGAGCGTTTGCTTAATGCCTAGTTTGATAACCCCCTTGAAAACAAGTAGAACATCAGAAGTACTTGTACTCGGTTAATTTTTTGGTACTCATACATGTACTTGTGCTCATAGAAAACATTGGCCTTGCACTCATAACGAAGTAGTCATACTCATAGGAACATACTCATACTCATAGTAGTCCAAATGCACTCAACTACAACACTGCCTGATTACACAGAAATAAATACACTCCACTGCAAACCTAGTACATGTGGATTTTTATGGATACAAAACTATCAGGTACGTAGCTTTGTATCAAATCATCTTTTAAACAGCTATATTCCTGCAAAGTTTGTGCAGACTTGTAAAACAATAAGGGACTGCAAAACAAAACAAAAATCCAGCAGAAAACAAAAGGGGAAATATTCCTTCTTGATAAAAGAAAAGAGCTTATATGGCATTTGGTGGGATGTTTTAAACCAATGGAATATGAAGTAAGAAACAAAGGCCAAGAAGTTAAAACTACCTAGTAGGGCAAGTCCAAGAATTCGCGCCCGCTACGTCCCATACCTAACGAAAGTTTAACCCTCTAAGATATTTATGTGCTATTTTTATTCTACTGTTGGTCATCTGCAAGGAAAATACCCACAATAATTGTTATGTTACTGGTCTTTGCGTTGATTACGTAATTAAAGAAAACCTGGTGTTACGTATGGGACAAAAAGGGGACCTTTTCTTTGAAATGATAGTCAAAGGCGATGCCACATTGACAGCCAAACTTCCAGAACAATTTTCAAAATATTCCACACAACTTGCTCGAACTTAATCAATGATGACTTGACTAAACAAAAAACAATTTTTCTCTTTATAACTTTGTTTGGCAGCTGATGTAAGTTCCTAAATATAGCCAGCATAATTGCAGGCATGACATTGTTCACTGGCCAACTGTGCCTGCATTTGCCAAAAGTTGGAAACTCACCAACTTACAAATTACAAGAGGGGTTTTGCACAAAGGTGAGGTACATTTGTGCCAATTTCGGGTGCTACTTTAGGCATCGCAAGAAGTGACTAAAACCTATGATTCACTTGTCTATAAATATTCAAATTAAAGGGTGGCGAGTGTACACGGAGTCTGGGTTCTTGGTCACTGCACTGTAAGTTCTTGGTCAAGATTACAAGGGCCAACCACAACGTTTGTAACAATCCAAAAATAAACTGACTGATTTATCATCATCTCATAGCTTGCAAAGTTAAATTAAAAATGGTGAATGTTCAAAACGTGCTGTCGAGATATTCTTCATGGCTAGTACTTCCATGTAGTTGTAAGTTAAAGCCGCTCAAAAACAGTCTAAAACAAATTAAGACTGATGAAATACAGACATGAAATACTGATGGTAACTGATCCAAAAATTTAACTTCAAAAATATATTCTGCCGTTCTTTTAAAACAATTACAAAATAACTTGTATTAAAGAGAGAAAATCAAAGGTTCAGCTCGGAAGGAGACGTGGGCACAAGTCACAGGCAGATTTCCTCAGGAAACTCCTAAATTGATTCCAAATTTTCTAGATGGGGCAGACTGCACATGTACCTGGACAAATAACCTATGGAATGTTTCACCTCCCCTCCCGTGCCCCCAACCTGCAAAACATGATTTCAAGAAACCTGGTGATTCTACAATTAACACAGGAACAGCCAAACCTCTTCCTGGCTCAACAGACATCAGTTGTCGTTGGGAACAACTTTTCAAACTTTTTGGTATTCATTTGGAACTCAGAGAAGAAATATGGATCTGACAGTGAGCCTATTTTTGTGAAATCTGGTGGTGCTAATAACTGCCTCATGTTGTTCAGGATGTGCGGAACAAAGGATGCACAGTTTAACAAGTTCCGTAACGGTGGGCGTGCCTGCTTTATGGGTCTTAAAAACAGGCTTGCCATATCCTGAAGTGCGGAAGACTTCCATTGAGTAAAGCCTTATTACATCTCAGAAAATCTGTAAAAACCTACAAGACACTCGGAAAGCTCTGTAGATGACATTTCTCTCTCTTTCTCTAAGCTACAAATGGATTTCTAGCATTCCTGCGTAGAAAGTGAATAAGTCCCCATCCATTCCTATGTTGGATACAACATTGGGTCTGACACCAAATATGTGAGGCGTTCTGCCAAAATGAAACAGAGGTCAAAAATAAGGGTTTTGCCAGTATTTGGAAAGAGACTAACATTCTTCTTACAATACTGTTTGTTGCACTTCAATTGGACAGTCTGTTAACAGGTTATGGTTGTTTAAATTTCACGTTTATCGACATGTCAAAAAAGTAAAATACTGAGAAAAATGCCTTTAAAGTTTCCTGCTTTGTTTTCGTGAAAATGAAAGATGTCAATTGATTTCCCTTAAAAACACTTGTACTCCATGATTTTATACTATTTCTTTGAAATATGTGTAGTAGACATACCGGCATGTCAAAGATTACAAATATCAATAAATCTGAAAATAGAAAAAAAATCACCCCTATTCGGTTTTTGCATTTTATTCAATCACGGCCTGTGCCCAGTTCCGTCTCATTTTGCCAGAAGGCCATACATAATGAGATCCACTTTGAATCATCAGATAAAAAAATTAACAACTCAATCAATTTGAGAGGAAGACTACCGATTTCAGAAGAAGGAGAAGAAGATCTCATCTCCTGCTGACCAATCCCAATTGCCAGATATCATGCTTCTCAGTCCTAAAAAGGTGATTTCTTACTTTAAAGGGAATGTACAACATTTGCTTTTGCTGCAATTTTCAGAAATAAATGGATTTGGAGGATTAGAATGTTATAGCAAATATTGTTAAGCTGACTTGTTTCACGATTTGGGCTTGTAGATGCTGGAAAAACCAAGAAAACCAATCACGTTCTTGTAGTCTGGTTCCCTGACCTCACTTATGATGAAATGGAGCAATTTGTAGACTTTGGGGAATTGTAAGGTCAGAGAATCAGTCTGGCAGGCTTGTACCCCTTTGCAGGTGTGTAATCAATTGCAAAGAAAATGCGGAATAACTAAATATGAAAAATTAGGAGTAGTTTTTGAAAATTAGCCAGTTTTTCCCAACGCTGGTCGGCCGACCAGCGTTGGAAAAATACACATTTTCTTGAAAATGCCAGCACACCAGGAGCCACGATTTTACAGGATGCTTTAGACTGTCATTCCCTAACAATCTAGTAAGGTATTTTGTGATAATTTGATCATTTGGTTTTTTTATGTTTGCAAATATTGTATCTTCCCTTTAAGTGAAAGCAAAAGTGGACAAGAATAGACCTTGGATAGGCATGTGTAGTTCTTTTGGGAATTAATTGTTACTGATTGAAAATTGTGTGAAGTCCACCCTATGGCTGTATGCGTAATGTCTATACAAAAAAAACACCACTTGCACCTATTTGTTAAGACATGGCCACAGCACTATGATTTTGGGAGTCTGTTGGGAGGGGGTTGTCATTTGGCCTAACAGTGCCAAATAGGTACATGTAGGCAAGGTACCAGTAATCCCTGTGGCAAACCTGTTCAAAAGTAGTTGTGAACCATGTCAAGTCCTTGATGGAAAGCCACAACCTAAATCTGTTTACTCACACAACCAGGTTAAGCTTATAGGTAAACAAGAATACAGAACGCAAATCCACAAAAGAAAAGGTGACTTCCCCAACTGCGTCTTGATGCGGGTGGGCACTACCAGTGAGGATAAAATGGGCTCATGTGAAGAAGGGAAGAAATATTAACCCTCCTATGCAAAATACATTCTGTGCAAAGTTGTCCTTTCAGTCAAAATCAATCAAGTGACTGTTTTCAACAGTTAGGAGCACCCAGCCTACATAAAGCAGGATGGATTGGCTGGCTGACTGTTTATGTAACTTGATACAACTATGCTTTGACTGTGGGTGATTGATAAGCCGGCTGTGCCTACATTGCATGTTTTTGTCTGTTGACTGAATTAGTGCTTGCTTGAAATATGATCTGACTATTGGTGGCTTGCCAGTGTGAAAGGTATGGCAGGGGAAGAGGATTGATTTGTTTGACCGTCTGTGACTGTTCAGATAGCAGGAGGGTTAAAGGAAGGTGCATACAAAATGTACCCTACATATTCACTTGGGATAACTGAAAGACTTAAATGAACGGGTTGTAATGGATGCAGGCCAGTAAAGGGCCCAAAATCACCTACGCTGACCTAATAATGATTTGCATACCCTCAACTATCGCTTATTGATAGAAAATTTTGTAAGCCATGCGCTCGAGATTACAACAATGAAGGAACGAAGCTCTGGACTGGACTGTGAGCTTGTATTTCTGAGATATTTGGATGAAATTGGACAAAAAGAAAGACTTTATTACATTTTCCTATTCAAAGAAAAGTGCCAGAAGATGTTAACAACTGGGCTTACATGTATAATGCCCATACATACACACCTCGGAAAGATTTCCATCAATAGTTATATAGTAAGAAGTACAATTTATTGGATAGTGCAGGAACGTGTGTGTACCCACATTTATGGGTG